CAACCCATTCACTCATACGGTGCTTGATTCGTGTTTTTTTTTGTCAATGAAAATGCGAATCACTTCGAGAATGATAGCATTTTCATTGCTTTTTATTCTAAATTCTAATATTAGTTGAAAACATAAGGGGCCATAGTTACTATTGGATATCAAGTTACGTGTTAACAACCTTATTGCTATTTAAATTTTTTCATAACTGACAACTTTCAACAGCTTTGTATCTATTAGATATGAATTTACATGAAGTGTGTGTGCTAGATATGAATATTTTAGTGAAAACAAGCTGATACAACCAACTAAATGATCATCCTACTCCCAATCACTAAATGTACCTTACCAACTCAACGCTTCATAATCATGCACATGTGTATTTTTATGATAATTAGTACAAAAAAAAAGTTTCTCATTAAGAAGCAAATAAATACTGTAACTGTACTTAGTAGTACTCTTTCCTTTTGCAAACCCTCAAGACTTATCAATTATGTTTATAATAGCATAATATATTGTAACCTGGGGAAATTAACAGTTTGAACATAATACAGTATATTTTTTAATTTTAAATAAGAATAAACCTTCTCATTATTATTAATCAATGATAAATCTTAAAATAAATTGAGCAAGCGAATGGGTTTAACAAATAAAATATTGAAGTCAATTTCTGAAGCCTTACTTAAACATGAGTTGAAATATAAACCTTAAATACTTTATTACTACAAAGTCGTCACTTCCGGTTTCGCGAATAATAGTCATATTCGTAAAACTTTTCTAACATGAAATTAAAGTTCTATGACTTAATATTAAAGTAGTTATTATTTTTTAAATTTCATTTTAAAAAAGAAGCAATGATGGTATAAGGTACTTCGCGATGAATCGTCACCTAAAACGTTATTATTTCTTAAAACGGAACATTAATGTGAATAAATTAATTTATTTACATAAAAAAAATTTTCTCGCTAATATGTGATGATTATTTTATCTTATTGTTGACAAGATATGAAATAGTATGGATCATATTCATATTCAGGATACTTTTTTCACTCAAAAGTTCAAATGAAATCAAAATATCACATCAAAATTTATGAATTTTACATAAATTTTCAAATATTGAATAGCTCACGAAATGTGCTCAGAGCATTAGAATTTATTAAAATATTTTTCTTACAATTGAATCATTTTTACAAGCTTTTAAAATAAGAGGTATCGTCGTGTCCTAATTCTGAAATTACCCATGAATTTGATCAGCCTATGAACATTTTGCCATTTTTTCATGTCCATGTTACATGTTAAAATTTGCAGGTATTGATTTCCAGGCTGAAGAGAAATGTTACAGAGAACCTGCAAAAATATATATTAATTAGTAAAGAATAATGGCATCATAGTCACGATTATTACCTGTAATCACCTTTTTGAGCCTATTTAGAGTATATACATTCGAATTGTTTATCTTAAGAATATATGAAAATTTATTTTAAAAAAAGTAAATAAATAATGGGATTTTTAAAATTGAATTCAGTGCTGTAACTGAAAAAAAAAGGAAAAAACTTGAAATATGCGTGCATTATGACATGTCGTTAATCCTACGTGAGATAAGATCACTTTGATAAATCACCATTAAGTTTTGATTTATTGTCTTTATTATTTCTCACAACGTTATAATAAGTTGAGTATTTTAATTTTTATCATTTCACAAATTATTATGTTTTGAAATCAGTAAAAAATATGCTCCATTATTGAAAAACAAAAATGCCTGAAATCCTTAATGTTTAGGTGAATTTGTTTAACCATTTTACAACGGTATTATAGAAAAAAATGTCTTGAATAGTAAATATCAACTTACAACCTTTGTAATATCATTACATTATCTTTTTTTTTTTTGAACACTTACAAGCTAATTATTATTGTAGGCTTATTTTATATGGTATCACTATCGTTTTTTCTTCAAATTATTACGAATTAGTGTGACATATTTTTTTTTTAACAAAAGAATAACGGTATAATTATATACACTCATAACGTAAATGAAGTTGTTAATATTGTGTCAATGCAATCCATCGTGCAACAATCAACATTCCTTCTCACTTCTACGAGTATAAAAACAATGTCTAACAATCATGCTTGTTTTTAAGAATCAAGCATTATTGTTCTTCTTACCACCTCTTAAACGGCTCTGTATTATTGTCAAATCAAGTAATCCTTATTATGTCAAGTTTTTCTACTGTTACTCTCATTTATTGTTCCATTGGAAGACACTTATGTACTAATATTACTCTTTGCAACAAGTTGTTTGAATCTCGCATGTAGGATACAGATATGTCTTAGAAAACACGACAGAGAAGTTGTACATGAGCGATTGCCACAACTTTCTCAATAAAACTTAAAATTATATAACAGAAGAATTAACGAGTAATTTTAGTAACAAAATCGTATGAATCAATAAAAATTTCAAATCAACAATATATGATAAAATTTTACTTTGTTTCATTAAACAAATATTTGAATGTATAGTTGGTAAATATCAATATTATGCGCCTTATAGGAAAGACTAGATAAATAGCATGATAGATTATAAGACAGAGATATATAGTTTTATGTTTACTTTCTAGATTTAATATTTTTTTTTAAGTAGAACTCTCAAGAAAGTGTCCTGATAAGAAAAAAAACTTAAACATTTATCTCCCTTATTATCACATCGTATTGTCATACATTTCCATTGAAAGTAGTTTTGGGGCTGAACTTTCTAGCCAATATATCCTAACGAAGACTTCTAGTCAAGTCGAATGAAATTATTCAAGTATCCTATGAACTTTTATATATACGAATAGAGAGCTGAAATATCGAGATTCTCAATTGTAGAGTTCGTTGCAACTAAAGCACGTTATTGATGTTATACTTTCCATGGCATACCCTGAAATTCACCATATGAAAAATTATAACTTGCTTCATTCGTTTTTATTCGTAACAATAATTAACCATCTTTCAGCTGGTCAAAATATATAAGTTCTTCGTTAGGTTTTCGTTATTTTTTTTATAATAAACATTATTTCGTTATTTAACTACGAAGTTTTGAAGGATTTTTATCCTTACAACAATGCATTATTTGTCTTTTTTATATTACTTCCGAACTAATTTTATAAGTTTATTTCAACTCGTGTATAAGTAATAAATATGTCGTTCTTTTTTTATAATTGGATTTTGATCATACATCTTATACGCTAGAATAACATCTTTCTTTTACTTACATCTAGTATTGTCGCTATAAATTATTGTCTTTAGATTACAAGATTTCAAAATTATTAGATCAACTTTTGTAACATAATAATAGTACTTTACGATAAAAGTAACTTGAGTTACGCCTGTCGGTACGGGGATATATATTAATAGGGCCTGAGCTTGATCGTACCAAAAAGTGCTACTTAAATCACGAGTATCGTAAACAGTTTCATAACACTGTAAATTTTCAGGCTTATGTTCCCTTTTTTGCGATACAAATAGTTCCATTATAGCGATACTATAATTTGCTACTTGAGTCACAAAAAAGTAGCCTTTAGTCTGGATGCAAAACAAACAGGACTATAAAAATCATTAGAAATAACATAACATTTGGGAATGTTACAAAACTTAACGCACAACCTGTAAGAAAAGTAACGTGGATTATAATAAATTATTTGGCACTTGGCAAGAAAACGAAACGATCATGTGTATACTTTATAATTAATATTTGGCACGAATTTTTCGAGCTTTTTTCGTTTAATTTTTTTTTCTCTCTTTTATTAGTTTAAGCCTCGCCTACTGCCCTGCGCGCTGCCTCCATGTGGCGATGGTTAATGTGAGCTTTCAAATTGCGCTCGTACTTGGAGCTGAAGGAGCAATGAGGGCAGCTGAACGAAGGCTCCTTGCCGCACTCGTAAAGAATGTGACGCTTCAGTATGTAGGCGTTTTTGTAGCTCTTGCCGCAGCGCATGCAGTCGTGGCGCCGATCCAAGCCCATGATACTGCCAGCGACGTGGTGATTGTTGTTGTTGCTGCTGCGATTGCGACTGTTGTTGTTGTTGTTGTTGTTGCGTCGATGCGTCGCGCCAGCAGAGGCAAGCAGTCGCGAGCGACGTTGGGGCGCGCTCAGATGGACCCGGCGGCGCTGCTCCTGGCGCGGCTGCTGCTGCTCGGGCCAATCGTCGTAATCGTCGCTGTCGTAGACGAGGTAGCCTGCAACAGTAAGCAGAGGCGCAGAGTGGCGATTACACGCGCGCGCGCAATCGGAAAGATTAGTCATCGAGGTGGATTGGATTGCCGTGAGAGCTATAAGGCTTTTTTTGTTTTTGGCAAGCTATGGTAACGAAACATCCATGTATGTGTGTGGCTTGCTAATGGTATAAAAAAGGAGCGGCGAAACGTAAATCGGGTATCTCTTCACTTTCAGTGCAATAATAAAATGTAAAATAAAAGAATGCCTCTACATGACATAAGCCATGCTATTTGATTAACATTCATGAAACTAGCGGGTATTAATTTTACACATATATAATAAAAGTAGGAAAACGGAAGTTTTTCGTGTAAACAAAATGTTTAATTTGATTCTTCTTTTTCGTCTTCCTTGTCCTTCGTTAGATTTCACCTCGTTGAACCTGAAAAACAATAATGAACAATTAGTAAAAAAATTCCTTTTAAAGTAAATGATATTTACCAGTGTTGCATATCATGCATTATCCATAATTCTTTCGAACTGTAAAACAAAATATTTGGTCAGTTATAAAAATTCAAGTTGAAGACAGTGTTAAACACTTGGATTATGTAAGACTGTACGTGAAATAAAACCCTAACAATATTATCATTCGAGACTTTATTTAGCTTGAATTTATTACAATTGTGAATTTTTACAGTCTTAAAAATAACTGAGAAGTAGAATTTCGAAGTATTTTTGAAAAAACAGTTTTTTCAATTATGAGGAAATAAAATTTAAGAGTCTGCTTGTATACATCAGATGCAATTAATTCAATATCGGAAAATTGTTAAATTGCCGTAGTGAAAAACTAACTATTAACTTATTCAATGAGTTTCCATGATAGAAAGCTGCCTCAAGAACGAAAAACCGTAAAAATTAATTTTAAAATAATAATAAAAAAAACACTAACCATATAGATGGTGATAATAGTAATCATAATCATTCGTTGGCAAATACATGGCAAAAGAATTGCTTAACTCTATAAAAAAGTTTATATCATTTGATTTAAAAAGGCGTTGAGTGAACAATATAACTTAAAAGTCTTTTTACAATCGGAAATAGCATTTTTAATATACTATTTTTTAGCTTGTACTTGGCATAACTTCTCTACAATATCATGTTTAAACATAAAATGTATGTACTTGTACTATTGAGTGAGCAGAAGACGCTTATTTACGAGTAAAATTTCATATAAATAAGTATTACGGTTATAGCGTAAAAACTATGAAACTAGCTATGGTTTAATTTCTTTTGATATGTATATTTTAGCGTAAACGGAAATGCAAAAAAATCTTTTTCAAATAGTTGTCGACAAAAAATTAGTGTAGGGCTGGATAACCCTTGTTTTGAAACGTTCCAGTCTCGCCAAAAGGCACTTTATACAAGGCTTATTGTTTATAATTAATGCATTTATTTATTATTTGAACGAGCTGTGAAAATCTATCATCTTGAAAAACATTTAATGCCTAAATTGAGTTCATTCTTCTTCATTAGAAAATTCCAATTGATACAATATAAACGCGGAAATTTTTTTTTACCACTAGTGCTATAAAAGCAATTTTGCCCCTATTCATGGCGTTTGTGCTACAAAAAAAATTACATTAAACCGGTGCGAGTACGTTTTATCATTCAAAATCATAACAAAACCCAATTTCATGATTATTTTTTTACCATAACGTACCCACACCTGTTCTAAAATTTAACTCACATAAGATATTAAAATGAAAATGTTTTAAATCTTAATTTTTCCATTATAAATTCCAGTTTATTATTAAAATTAATTTTAACGATTATGCCAGAGTTTGGTTGAAATATTTGATCAACCTAAATACTTCAAACGTTGTTTAATAATTTTTAATGACCTTTCAAAGTTCTATATATGAATGATTTTAATAACGTACTAGATCGAATATATAATTTTTTTTCTTGCAGTACGCTTACCGATTATTTCATGGAATTTTATTAAAATAAGCCACTTGAATTTAGATTGACCTACGTAGCATGAGATATCAAAGGCACGCTTTTTCAATAAAAACGTCTCAATCATTTCTTTATTACTTGAATGCGTTTTTTAAATTTTAGAATATGGAATTCTACATCGTAGTAGCTTATGTAATTTTATAAAGTTTATATTCAATCTATAGTGACGCACCCTTTATAAAATTGCTTTTTTTAAGCGATAAAATAAGACTTTCACTCTCATCAAGCTCTAACTCTTGAAGCACTTAAGTGGAATCATTAGAGTTGGCACAGCAAAAAGCCATATTTTTTTTTTAATTTTCCTTTCTTTCAAACTTATTTAATTTTTTTTTCAATTCCTTATCAATAGTAGCTAGTTTTATTGGTTTTTTTTTCGTCTACTGCTTATGTTTGCGACGTCCCATAAGTTTGGTTATCTTAATTTCAATAATTTACATTTATTCACTTATCTTTTATACTTTTTTTCGTAATATCTAATAATCTCCTTTCGTATACGACATAGATCAATCAAATTGTTCCATTGTTAATTTTTAATTCTAACTGAGTGGTGGTCTTCTTGTATATTTAAGCTTTTAAGAGGCACTTATCGCTGCATTATATACTAGATAATAATTGTATTATTAATTTATACGTGCTAAATGATCATGTTTTTTCACGCTATAAAGGGCTCGCATAATTTCAAGAAATTTCAAATAAAAGCCATTTCTTTCTAATATTAAACTAACGTTAAATTTTTACGCACAATATCTGGTTACGAATTTATGATATTAAGGTAACAGATGAGGACTGACAATGAAATTGATGGATCAGAAGAAAAAAAAGCTTGATTCCAAGTATTATGCATATCTAAAAAAACATCTGTAAATCTGTAAAAATATTTGAAAGCGTTTGTCTTAGCCTTAAAGAACTAAATAGATATTTTATTGAGCATAGAACAGCGTGTTAAGCACTGATTCGTCGAAGTAAAAAAACATTCTTATGTAAAAAAAAATGAAAAAATTTGCAAAAATATTTTGCAATAAAAATACTGTTGTTGATTTATGCAGTCCACAGAAATTAAAAAGCAATTCGCTCGTCATCATACATATACACATTAACCAATGAAAAAAAAATTCAACACTTTTATCTATATATACGCAAACATTCTTACTCTCGTAGCCTAATACTTAAAACTTTACGCGGGGGATGGACATGAATAATGTTTCTATTGTTTTGCTACTGGTTTTTTTCGATGGATGTTACATTTTTTACAATAAAATATTGTCTACATTTGTGTATAAAAGAAAGATAACTAGTAACGCGTCGCCGTGGGTCGTGTCTGGAATGGCTCAGGAATATGGGACGTGTATAGATCTGACTGGTCTAGCTCGCAAATACCATCCTACAATTCTACGGTTTCTTTTTAATCTATTTGGCAATAACGTGGGGTTAGTATATTACTTATTATTGGCTTAAAGTCTCACTTTGTTTGGGGTTGAAGTGGAAGTAATAACTTCGCTATGTATAAGCTCGAATGTAAAAATCGTACCAATGTACGAAATGAAAAAAAAACAAGCTAACTTGTACTTGAAGCATTCGATAGTAAATTAAAATATATACCTGTTTTGTGCATTATATTATGCTATTGACTTGGCGGGTGCTTTGTATAAGGAACAAAATGAATTATTGTTATTATTGTTATTTATTGTATCGCGAGCTAGATCGCGTGTATACCCTAGCCGATATCATTATTATTCGATTCAGCCATAATCGATCTCGCGCAATATGTACAGACGTAAAGTGAAAAGTAAAATACACACCATCACTTCACATTGATAAAATACTATATTACATTCAAAAAAAGTAATAAATAAAATTGTGTAAATAAATGCATTCGTTAGGAATCTTATAGTTGCACGTCTGAAAAATATCTGGAAGTGTACTTCGAGCATTGGTATATATACTTATATAATGGAAATATACATCACTCTATATCTTTATAAATGTATGACTACTTACATCATAAGCGTCTATGAAAAAAGGATAATTAAATAAGCAAAAAATGCAGAATATACTGTGACGATAGCTGAATCGATTGTACGAGGGAGGAAGTCTATATGTACGAAGCGATTTTTGTGTCCCTATAGTTTGAATCCAGCACGACCACGGCTGCTACTTCAATTATCATATAAATATACGGAACCAGTGTGACCAGAATGGTTACTATGGAAGTGCCCCAGATTGGGACCGAATCGAGCTCGAGGTATATTGTGTTACTCCAAGAATGTATAATGAATTTGATTCGATCGATGTTATACATTACATATGTGTGTAACCTAAAATTTGCGAAGCCGACGCGATTTTCAATCCAAACGCCGGCTTTGATATGCGTTTTTTTTTCGTTGTCGAGCAGAACAATGACACTTTATTATATAAACTAAGATAAAATCAACAGTAATTTTGGTTGTTTCCAATCAGGAAAACGAATTTGATCCGTTTAACGGGGCCACTCGTGGGCGAGTGTGTCAACCAACGATATATATCACCAAAAAATTTTGAAGGACGTGCGTGTATCGAGCACAGTCCAATCTATATCACAGTGTTTTCTAGTAATTTTTTCTTCTTCAAATTTCCAAAGAGTATTAATTGCACTTCTACGTGACATTGCTGCTCGCACAACGGATATACACAATTTTTTTCGATTTTTCTATTTGATAGAAAAACTGAAATTCAACATTTGAAGAGAAGAACAATAAAAAATTTCGATTTCCTTAAGCCTAAATTTTTGGATGAGTTTTTTGTGACTTTCGAGTATGCAGAAAGCCACACGTAACAAATTTACCCCGAGCAAGATTCACTTGCTATTTTAGAATTACATATAAAAATCGTAATGAATTGTCATAATTCCTCCGATTTCTCTGTAACTATAAAAACTGCGTTTCTATAAAAAAAAATTAAAATTGAAACAATCTTAATATCTAAAAAAATATAAATTATACTCTTAACGTTAAACCTAAGCATTGAAAAAATTGAATTATGAACTGTGACAAAATCCTGCATTTAAACTTAAATCGTAAAACAATTTGTTTTCTTTAAAGCCTTTGGGTTCCTGCCAAAATCACTGAACGATAAACTTCTGGTATAATAATATGCGTATCACTTGTCAAAAGTGACGGTTTACAAGGTGCACACGAGTGAAGCACTGTCTCGTGCACTCGTATACTTGTATACAGCTTGTCGTGAAAAATTGCAAAAAAAAACACGAAAAAAAAAATCTAGTAAAAAATCATCATCTCAATGAGCAGTAATAATAACACCTATCCCATTCACACACGTGTACTTAAAAATCACTGGGTCGGCGGGCGGAGGCTTGTAAACAACCATCTCTTCTTTCTTTCTTTTTCATTTTTGTTTTTTCTTAGACGACTTCCTGCTTGTAAAGCTTCTCTTTGTGCATGCGCTCCATGTGGCGGGCGATGTGCATCTTCTGTTTGGCGCGATAGACGCAGTGCGGGCACTGAAACTGTGGCTCTTTGCCGCACTCCCATTTCTGGTGGTTGCGCAAGCTGCTCTTGAGCTTGTAAACGCGGCCGCAGGCCGGACAATTGAAGCCACCCTCGCCGGGTGCCACCTGGCCGTTATTGCCCTGGGCCGTCGACGAGACGAGGCTCTTGCTCAGGCTGCCGCCGGCGCGCCACATGATCGACGGCACGCTCCATCGCTGCCAGGCTGAGGCCCACTTAAGACCCGTCATGCTAAGATCCTCGGCTGGAACAACAGGGTTTTCCAGGACTTTATTTTATTAAACATCATTTTTTTTTTTAGACATGGTGTCAGGTTTTCTATTTAGAGAGATATTACAGTGTGTGCATGCGTGCGTGGTGTATAATAACTTGTCTCTGTTTTTATTTTTGTTTTGTTTTTTTTTTCGAATAGTTCATTATTGACTGTGGAGCAGGATGTCCTTTTACGGCATAAAATATTTTATAAGCACTATATAAGTGATAGATATTGGCAGGTGGAAAAGCAGCTGAAATTTTGCTACAACATTACTGGGCTACATTTTGTCAGAAGTAACAATCAAAAAATTGAGCGAGAAAAGCGAGTGAAGCTTTCCAACTAAACTTTCATCTTCTTCTGCTACGTTTTTTTTTAATACAAATGTACATGAAAAAAATTCCAATCTGTACAATCTTTACAATCAGTGCGAATACACAGTATACGCGCATTTACGCAGTTTTCCTTTGAAAAATTCCCAAGCAGTGTAATAAAAAAGGTTTATGAATATTAAACAGGCAGTAACATAGGCGCATTGAAGGATAAATAATCTCAATCGTACATTTCAAAGCGATATTTGGTTTTGAAAAGAGGCGTTTTGAGCTACAGTACATCATACAGTATTTCATCTCTCAAATTTTACAAGCGGTTACATACAATGTATTTCTATAATATTTACAATTTTTCAAGAGAAAAGTTAGTTGTAACATGCGCAGATATTGGAGTGTTCACAATATCTTCATCTGTTTTACTCATGACAGAGGTGTCAATTCATAATCGTGATGTATACAAGCAGTAATTTGAATATTGAAGAATGCAACTGTGCAATAGAGATCGAATTTTGATTTGGAAGATAATGCATAGTAAGATTGTAAATAGGGCGCTATAGTGCTCGATAGAAAAAGTGGATGAGAAATTTTTGTTCGAAGCGAAAGAATAGAAAATTCATAAGCGTTTATGTACATAAATTATTAATGATCGGCGTGAATGAACCGATATATTTTCAAACGCTAAACGTTTTTGAATAGGTTCAAAAAATAATTGAAACAATTTTTTTCTTGAAATATTTAAATTTTTATGAATACAAGTTTTTTTCTCGTAAAATTCCGGGACGAGTCCATTCAAATCTTGATTTAATTTTCACATGATCTTTTTACCATTTCACGATTGACCAATAGACATCGACATTCGATCGTCTTTAAAAATGATAATAAATTAAAATAAGTGCAATTTATTCCGCACTTAATTGACCTGAAACATATAAATTTATGTACTATGGTTCAAAAATACGAAAAATCCATTTTTTACTGAGAAAATGTAAATAAGTTGAATAAATTTTGAATAAAAACGCAAATTTATTTTTTTTCATCAAACTACAATAAGCGTCATTATAAAATTTATCTTAAAAAATTAAATTTAGTCGAGTTTGTAATGTGACGATTCTTTTCCGTAGAAACATTTTTTAATTCCTATTCATTTCGCCATGACTGTTTCTAAAAAATAATACAAACTATTAGTACAGAAAAATCGAAAAAACGAATTTTTATATGCCACTTACTAGGTGCTTCAGGGAATGTCGCGTGACTAAAAATTTTCTTCTCGCTTTGTAAGAGCACTTGGTACAGCTGAAGCTAGGCTCAACGCCACACTCGTATCTCTGATGATACCTCAAAGATGCAGGTTTGTTGTATTTTCTGTCGCACGTGCTACATGCATATTCCATTTGTTCTTCGTTCGATTCCAAATTGAGAGGATCTGCAAATTGTTATTTCTGTCAGTGATAGTTAGTACAAGATAAAACTTAACAAAGCACATGCATTTATGGGTTTTCGGTTCTGAAAAAGTGTAGTTAACATTTAATTAATTTTATATTAAAGCAATATTTATTCAACATTTTGAATGTGTTTAAATAAAAACCTTACAATTAGGCATTAGAAAAATATTTACAGAAATGAGAGAATTATAAAAGAAAGTAATACTGGTATATGATTTGCTCGAAACAATTATCTATACTTATGGTTACCTTATATACCTAATAATAAAAATGTTTTTATGCTTATAAAATCAGTCAACAATGATTCAAGTCACTTCTGGGGTCGAGGTTCCTCGTACTTCAAACTCTTTCTGTTATTATGCAATACATAATGCGTCACAAGGTTATGCTTGTGCATGAACCAATTTTTGCAAATTGGACACTGGTAATTGGGATTTTTACCGCATTCTACTCTCAAGTGACGTTTTAAACAGTATTCTCTTTTATAAGTTCGGGTACAATTGGGACATTTGTAGGTGGCAGTGGGATCCTCTGCAGCTTCTCTTCGCGATGGTCGACTTTGCACTTCAAAGGGTATAAACGCTGGTGGTAAACCTAAAAAACCTGAAAAATATAGAAACGTTTTAGTGCGGTCGATTTTTTGGTTCAACTTCGTATGAATGTATATGAGTACGAATGTGTATGAGTGAAATACGACAAAAAGTACAGATGTGTTATTTTTCATGAAAAAAAGGTTGTCAAAGATCGCATTGTTTAAAAGTTTATGAATAAATATAACGAAGCATTAGTGAAAGTTGTATGCTTTACTTTAAAACTAACGATTTTTTCGTAACAAAAATAAAGAAAATATGTTTTATACAATCTTGCGTATAAATAAATTCGCATACAAAAAAAAATTACATTTTATTTTACATAATTCAAACCTGCAGAGGTAAAAGTTCGTAAAACTTTTGTTCGGTATCATGGTGTAGAAAATAGAGAATGTGTGTATTATACATTGCAAGACTACCGCTCTCAAGCGAGGTCATAATATAGTAGATTGAAAAAAATCAAAATATGCGTTCCATATCATTCAACAGCTTACAACAAATCAACTTTATTTCAAACAAAACAGCATTATAATAGTACGTTTTAATTTAACGATTAATCGCATCAACAGGAACCTATTGCACTATTGAGAAATATACTAAACGACATTATTATGTGTCGACGTAGAGATCACTCACGTCGCAAAGAAAGAGGATACCGCGTATTATTTCGTGTAACTTACATGTCGAGTAGTATACTTTCCAATTTACATTACACTATGTTATTTTATGTATAATATTCACACGGTCATATCATGGCTTTTTTTTTAATCTATAAACATTACTGCACAATTGTAAGGTTTACCCTTGGGGTATTGTTCGAAGTGCCTCGGTGCAAGAGTTAAAAATTATAACGAACTGCAGCACTTTCAAACGAGCTTTGGCAAATTCACTAATTAATAACTAAAAAAATGAATTTAAAATGAATTTAAAATCAATGTATCCAACGGATTTGACTCGTACGCAGATAGCAGAGATATCATATTATATTATCGGTATCCTAAAATACTTTTCCAAGAAAAAAGAAATAAACAAGAACGGTAATAATAAGAGTAATAGTCGCGTCAAGTTGAAATCATTTTACTTTTCCGACTTGGGAAATACTTTCTCGTCCTTGATGATGGACTCGCAGCAGGACAGACTGTTGTGGAGGCGCCAGGCGTCGTCGAGGCAGCGCGGATCCTGCCCAACCAGGTGCACCTTCAGGTGTCTGTGGAGGCTGTGCTTGTGTTTGAAGCGCGAGTCGCAGATGACGCAGCCGAACGTCGCCTCCTTGCCGCACTCGAGCTTCTTGTGGCGCTGCAGCGATATAATGCGTCGATACTTGCGATTGCACTGGTCGCAGGGGTAGAGCTGGTCGTCGGATTGGTACGGATCGGTACTGTAATGAGGAGGGCCTGCAAGAGAAAAATAGCGAGAATACGTTAGTTTCGTCCAAGCTGTCTCGGCACGTGTTAGATCGTTCGGCCCTATCGGTAGCAGAGAAAAAATTCGCTCGCCTACGAGTATGTGAAGCAAAGCTAGAACGTGACATTCTTACATACAGATATTTTTTGGTGTTGGCTTTTTTTTTCATTTTTTTTTTCTTTTTTTTTTTTTTTTGTTGTCATAAAAAAATTGATCTCGTTATGTCATTAAAAAAAAAACACGAATGAAACTGTAGATGACTGATGATATGATATTGGTTAAATATTACGACGGTTTTTGCATTATAGACAAAACATGAATAAATGTGAATAAAAAAAACATGTAAACTCGAAAAATTTTAAAATGATGTTGAACCAACCTTACCTCGTGTAATCGGTGATCGAGTATTCATGCGAGCTGAGCTGACTGTGCGAAGCAGTCATGATTTTTTTACCGTTGATAAATACAATATGCACATGCAAATTTGAATAATTTTTTTGGCGTTAAAAAGCTGCATTTGGATTTATCAGGAATATGGGATTTGATAGCAAAAACTCCTTTTTTTCGATGAATTTTCTGTGCTTTCATATTTATTTAAATAGATTTCTTAGTAAAAATAAAACGTATATTTTTACACAGTATAATATGTATCCTGCATAAACTTAAAATTATTTTTTCCTCAAGCGTCTTTTATAAACAAAGGATTAGTAGTAATCCTTCAAACAGAAACATGTACAAAGACCCATGATCCAAATAAAAACATTAAAAAAATAACAACTTCGAGTGACGCTATCTGGTGTCACTAAAATTTGCAATCTTCTGATGATGACGTTTATAGTGCACCGTTAAATTACCTCTTTGCCGAGCTTTGTAGGGACACTTGGGACGCTGATACGCGGGTGGCTTACCCCCGCACTCGACGGTCTCGTGTCTCCTCATTGTGCTCTTCCATCTGTATCCCTTGCCGCAGAATCTGCAGCGAAACTTACGTTGCTGCTCGTGCGACACTCCTGGCAAAAAGCGTTGTGACGGCAGCAACGCAAATGACAGTGGTAAAGCATTTTTGTTGCAGATGTTTTTGTCGTTACTAGACGTTTCGCTGTCACTGCCGTCGGTGTCTAGATTCGGTGTCTCGTTGAACTCCGGTAAACTAATTCTGGAGCTACGAGCAGCTGATCTGTTACGTAAAAAACTGAACAGGGCACCTGTTCCTTGATAGACAAAAAAAGTGTTTTTTTGAGACATCGGCTTCCGTCAATGCACTCGCTATTTCATAACGTCCCTCGTTCAATTTTGCATCGTTTCTAAATGGTGATAGTGCTCGAGATTAATTGCTATGTGCCCGCAAAACAACCATCGAATTTCTTTTAACCAGCTGTGCGTAATCCAGACCAGTTATTAACGTTTATAAAGTTAGCAGCTTACCTAAAACTTATAATTAGAAAAATAAAAATCGTATTGCATTAATTTGTATTAAATGAGGAAAATTATTCAAGAATGAAGAACTTGATAAAAAATCTTTCACAAGTTATTGTAAAAATAGTTTATAATGCACGATTGGCAACTGTTAAATGATCAATTACATTCATTTTTTAAATTATGAAGCCATTACAAGAAAACGATCAAGTCTTAAAGATTTAACAATAATATGTTCGAAGTATTATTTACAATTGTATTTCTGCGCTTTTCGACGTTGACTTAATTTTTTTATATTCCAAACATCATTTTCTGCTGAACTTTTTGAGCGATTTCATAGTCATTACAAGTTAAAAGTATCGGCCAACATTCCGGGGAATCTCGAACATGTCTAATTAACGATTTTCTCCACTTGTAAGTTTTCGAGCAAGCCATGCAAACGCTTCGAGGTGTTTCGTCTAAAACGATACCTGCAATTAAAAAAAGTAATAATATTAAACGAGTTATTGTAAACAGATCAAAAATAATTGCAATGCTAAACTAATTAACAAAAACATCGAGCTATAATCGTGTGAACATTTCTGGTTACCTTGACAATAAAAGGAAATTCTACAAAAATGGAATCAGTAGTAGGTAGAAAGTTAAGCAATTGTTGATCAGTTTATGATTATTTGATATAATTTTTAATCATGAACTGATCAGCGACTGCTCAAGTTTTTACCAGTCATAATTAACGTAAAAGGTTACTTTGAAAATGAAAGGACATTTTGCAGATAGTAAATCGAGAATTTTTTTACCTGGAAATTTATTTGATTTTACCGGGTGAAAATGAAAAAATAAATGATTAAGAGAATCCAGAAGACGAAAAAAATAATGACTTGAAGCCTCTTTTTCTAAGATATAGATTGAATATTTTTTCAAAGGTTCTGTAGTCCTTCAAACCACAAAAATAAAATTACCAGCCGTTTTGGATAATATTCACAATGTATCTCGGAAAACGAATTCAAGAATTTTCAATTTTACCTCGACTTTGGGATCCTCTTAAGGGCTTATACACACCTTAAAATTACATTAATTTAAAATGGTTGAAAAAAAAAGTAAAAATAAAATCTGGTGAATTGGAAAAATTCTACNACCAAGAAGTTGCTCCAGCTGGACATAAGTGGTGTTGTGGTTTTTTATCAGTGGACTTTTTGTGAAAGAAAGTGGCCCATATATCATTTCTCATGCTAGTGACAGTAGTGTTTCTTCTAATCGCTTGAGTGTAGTACGATGACAGCTGATCTATCACTTTGGCTGTCAATCTTCCTTTTCCACCTATTGTTTTCCCATCACTTAGCAAGGTTCTTCCAAATCTCTTCTTTATGTTGCGTAAATGAGTTCCCATTCTTTTTCCAACGTGGTTAATATCTTCTTTTTTTTCTACTTTAAAATTCTTTCCATAAGGTTTAACTATTTCAATCTTAGCGTAAACTTTGCAATCACCATCACCAATGTAGTTTTTATACTTTACTTCATGCAAATCTTCTGATCTTTGAAACATCTCAACTATTCCATCTACTTCCATCATACCAGCACTGCCAGTATGGTTGACTTTACAAACTTCTTTATGCTCTTCGAACCATTCATAGTACTCTTCTGAACTTTTATCTTTATTTTCCCATTTTCTACAGGCTTGACAGAAACTATTTTTGGTGATTACATCTACAACTTTTCCAGTATAATGGCCTATTAGACTGGCAGCTCCTTGAAGTGATGTAAACCCTGGTGTACGCCAAGTTCCATCACCAGAAACAGAGAGACCAGGATGAGATTCAGGGGTACGTTGACATTCTTCTGTAACAGCTCGGTGCATGGAATCTGTGGCTATCGTCTCTGCAGCAACTTCAATGGCATCATTAATTAGTTGATAACTTGTTTGAGCAACTGGCTGAGGTAAGTCCATTACTGCACAAAAAGATTCCAGGCCTGTTAGTCCTACTCCTATAGTGCGCATAGCAAGAATTGATCTTCGGTTGCATTCATATAAATTTTTTTTAGGTCCAATTTGCTTGCTTGACAACACACTTGACGAAAACTGGCACTTTTTATTATTGCAGTTAAAGTTGAGCTCAAATCCAAGGCCACGAACAGAATTCTCAACAATACTAAACTTATCACCACATTTACAGAAAACATTTTGTTTCAGAAAAGGAAGTAACAGGCTAAAGTCGATCAACCGGTATTGAGCTGGGCTAGCTTCAACATCAGAATTGTTACAGCGGAGTTTAAATTTTGAAGCTGAATGAACTAATTGAGCTGCTTCGAAAGCAGATCTTTCTTGAGCTCTTGTCAATTTTGGATTAGAAGGAGCTGCAGTCCATTGATTGCCCTTAAAATGCACTCTGCGCTTTCTCCCAGTAGTCCTTTTTTTCTCTGGGTTGCTCCTTACTCTCTTACGCGAAGGCTCCATAATAAATTTACTCTTACAAATTCTAACTATTCTAACTAAAAATAAACTAATCTGATTATAACTAAGCTCTAAAGTATACTAGTAAAAATACAATTAAAAAGAAGATTTTTATTATCTAATAAACTATATGTAATGATCAATTTAATCTAATAATCTAATGTTTTAATGCTTAACTATAACTTATATTGTTCTAAACTAACTAACTAATTTTAAACTAAACTATTAATTTAAAAAAATGATTATAAACAAATTACTATAAACTATCTTAAATTACTCTAATAAAAAAATAGTATACTAAACTTAATTATTGTATTTTAACCTAATTCTAAACTACACTAAAACTTATATTTAAACTAATTATTTCTAGCAACTAAACTAAAAGTAAAATTATTTATACTAACTACTTTTAAAAAAATGAATATTAATAATTATGAATACTATAATAACAGCTATCTATTTAAAATTCGCGTCGAGACAAATATCGTGAGAGCACTTCGTAGCGAGAGAAATCAAACACTGATCGATAGTTTAACGTATACCAAGAACGTTAATTTAAATTTTTAGGGTGGTAAAAGGGTATCGTGATACCAATCAAGGTATTGAAAAAAGGGGGTGATCATTTGAGATCGTTATATGTATATAGAACGCTTGCCAACATGACCATAATAAAATCGAAATTATCACAGAATTCGCTCAAAATGATACACCTGGATTTGTTCGGTAAATCGGCTGTATCTTTTGATAGGATTCGAATTTCGAAATTTTAAAAAAAGCGCTGAAAAGGGGAGAAAATTTCCTTTCTGAAACACAAATAAAAAAAAAATCGATTTTTGAAAAAATTAAGGTGTATATAAGCCCTTAAACATCGTATCAAACTCGAATGAATCTAAATGAATCATAAAATATTGTGAGTTGTTATGGCCCTCTTATTATGTTGTTTTATAATCTACAATTCATGATAATTTTTATATTTTACTATATATCATCGAAATTAAAAAATCAGTTCGAAATATTTATTGATATAAAAACGTAAATACACAAAAAATCTTATTAAAATAATGAAACAATTCAAAAAACGAAGTACTTCATAAGAACTTCAATATCTTGAGAAGCGGTTACACATGTGATCGTAAAATAAGACTTGGAATAGAAGGATAGCACACATAATAATAATTGTATTATTAATGAAAATTTTAAAAAAATATCATAATCTTATAGTAAGACTAGGTTCCTAAAATATTTTCGAAAATGTAAAATTTCTTTATAGTCATTTATCATTCAGATTTACATTATTATTTTAGATCGTGATTTCATTCAATTTTTTATATGTACAATTTGAACACTTATAAATGCAATACAAATTCAGAAAAGAAAATATCACAAATGTAAAAACTAATCAGCTGACCCTAAAACAAAATTTTGGTATCAAATTTAATTAAATTTGTATGTAATTAAAATTTATGACTTTCTTTTAAATGTCTGAGGAGTGAAAGATTCAGGTATGAAAATACTATTCAATACACTAGATAACACATATTATGTGTATGGAATAACAGGTGCACGCAATGAAACAATGTTTTTTCATGAAAAAAATTTTTTTTTTCATTTTTTCAAAACTTTTCTGTAAAACTAGCGATGAAGTATCAAACAGAAGGAGAAGCCTATTCGAAAGTTTTTCACGAGCTAGAAGACGTAGGAACTTTAAAATTATGTTGCTCAGCTTGATGAGCTTGAAGAATAAATGCTTTAAAAGCAGCGAATGGGCACAATGTGCACTTGAATTGTGGCGGCTCGCATTTGTGCTTAAGATAGTTGCTCCACATCTTGTAGAATTTACTACATTTGGTGCAAGTGTAGCCGATCATTCGTTCGCCAACGAACATTTTACGGTATGCTGCAAACACAAAATTGATAGTTAATTAAAAAATATCTAAAGAGTGAAAGTCTTGTGAGTTTAAAAAAAAGGGAAAATAAGTTGGTTTTCAATTCAAAATTTCTAATGTAAAAAATGATACGGATCAAAATGAAAAAAATTACATTAAAAACAAGGCAAAAATTCAAGACTAAAAGCACTCAGCGAACTATAAAAACTTAAGCTGCCAGTTGGTCTAAGGTAATCTACATAAATCAAAAGAATGTAAAAGTTTTTTTCTGTATGGTTTATATGAATTAAATATAAAAAATTACATACAAAATGTATATTATCTATATAAGTGTTATATATTCAATTCACGTAATGAACGAACGTTAATGAAAAACTGCACGATTGAGTGATTTCAATCAAGTTGTGGCTGTTCGCTTGGACTTGATTCTCTGGCAATTCTTCAACGGCGCTTTGTAAATATTATGAGCTTGAAGAAGATGACGCCTCAGGCTCACATTCTGACTAAAGCTCTTATTGCACACTTCGCATGGGAACATTCGTCGTCCGCCACACTCGTATTCTAGGTGCTTTTTGAGACTATAAAATGACTTGTAGGTGCGTTTGCATCCGAAGCAGTGGTGGATCACGCCTGAAATGAAAATTGCTCAGTTTGCTTTACTCGTTTTTTGTAATCAATGATTGGTTAGTATCTACGCTTTTACAGCAAAAAATGGAAGTGCAGTTAAGTATGTTCACCATAGAAAATAATGCGGGATTGACAGGATGTCTCGATAAAGATGTACAAGTTTAATTGATCATTAATTATATTAATAAAATACATCATTGCATTTGTAAAATAAAACAAAAAAAAACATTACATAAAATTCTTATATCCAAAACACGTATTAAGTATCAAAAAGTATAGTTTAAAGCGAAATAACGAACGCAT